AAACACGTCCTTTTTATACAGTAAGCCGAATAAGGGTTGGAAAAGGGAAGAAATCGCATAAGACTTCAAAAAGAAAAGAAATTGCAAACTCACATGACCAAAACTGTTATTTTTGTTCAGCCACACTAGTCGTGTCACTGAGGGTGTGTTTGTTAAAGGAATAATTTGAGTGTATTAACTCAAAGTGAATTTTTTTGAGTTAACTATGGTTAATTTAGAGAAAATGGTGTAGTTGGTTATTAATGTGATTTTGAGTTTATATTAAAATAATATTGAAAATAAAATAATTAAAATTGGTTTGATGTAAGAGTAGGACATAGATGATATGATGTGATGGTTAGTTAAAATTACTAAATTACTAAATACCGCCCCCCACAAAGACCATTTTGCTCTTCAGCTTTGAAAAAAAATCTATTCTAAAAAAAAATATTCACTTCACTTTCAAAAATTCTGGAAAAATGGTGGGACGACCCTCACTTGGCGGCAAGGAATTATTCATTCCACAAGTATTTTTTTACATTATAAATAATTTTTTATATTTTTTTCGTTTCTGATGCGGCAGCTAATTGCGGCCGCCTTCGAAATAATCGGCCGCCGATCGCGGCCTCACATCACGTGGACGGCAGAAGACAGCGGCCAGAGCTCGCGTGACCGTCCTTGACTTTGCGGCCGGTCCATCATAGGTCGCGAAGGTCGGACGTCCCGACAGCCCGTCGACCGTTCCTTTTCTGGCCGTTTATTTTATCTTTTATTAATATTCATCGGCCGCCGGCGGCTGCGGTTTTAATTTTTCTAATTAAAAATATATTAATAGATATTAAATTCTATATATTAATAATTTCATATATATTAATATGTATTTTATAATTAATTAAAAAAAATTAATAATTAATATATTATAATTAATTTAAAATATTCTAATTAATATATATATATATATATATATATATTAATTTAATATATTAATATATATATTATATATATTAATTAAAATATTAATATATATTAATAATTTCATATATATTAATAGAAGATAACTAGCACCAGTTCCCGCTACTGCAGAAGATAACTAGCACCAGTTCCCGCTACTGCATGTTGTACACTTGTTTAATTTCACCCCACCACAGTTGATCCAGGGGAAGCCGATGAAGAGTACCAGGGGTGGTACGCTCAGGTTTCTCATCCTATTATCTTGAGTGACAATCTGCCGTACTAGCACGTGGTCCCTACACCCGCCAATGTCGATTGTGTAAGTCGTTTATTAAATTTTAGTTAATGTGCTTTCATTACAATATTTGTTTTTACATTAATGTGCTTTTAGTTCATTCTTTTATTTTTTGTGTAGTGGGTGAATCGTTACCAAGCCGCTACATCACACTTCGTGCGGGACTGCGAGAGTGTTGATCTTGATTTGGCGGCGCATTTTGCAAATACGTTGACCCTAATTAAGACGGATTGGGAATGTTTTTTTTTTGGTTGAATTTTTTTTTTTTCTTTTTTTAATTGTATTTAGGTGGCTCTATGGATTTAGGTGGTGTTGATGATTCAAGGGACAATTTTGAAGCTTTGGAGGATATTGTGATGAACAAAAGTAGAAAACCTCATGAAAGTACCCCTTCGGGTGGAATTTTGGGTAGCCCCATTGGTAAGAAGGGTAATGAATTAGAGCAAGCTGAAAAGAGCTATCGTAATGGCATTCTGAAAACCAATGATAAAAGGACTGATGTAATTGATGAGTTCAAATATGTTAGCGAGCGTGGTGGTCAAGCAAATCGGAAGAGAACAGGTAGGTTTGTTGGTGGGTTTGGAAGAAGAAGGAATTTGCCAGTTATGTTGGAGAGGGAAGAACAGATTTTTGGGGAAACAATAGAGTCGAAGAGAGATTTGTTGGACTTTTTGGATGTACTGAGGGTTGTTGTTGTAGATAAGAATGGTGATTCTGATGATGTTGACTTTTTAGAGATGGTTAAAAGGAGGGGTTTGGCTTTTCCTCGGCCGAGATGGTGGCTCGATGAATGACAACATGTGACTGAATGTGATTGTAAGCTTTTGTTATTTGTATGCCCATTTTCCCTCTTGTTTTCATATTGTGAATTCTTGAATTAAAGTATGTTGTTTTGAGTTTTGATATCTAGTGTTCTTGATACTATACTGTGAAGCTGGAAATGACACATATTGGAGGGTATATGTGGATCTGCAATTACAGGATTGTCATCCTAAATTTATGATATAATCGTTCTCTAAAGAATGCTACCATTTGTGTTGTACATAATTTATTCACAATGCACAACAATCTTCTGCTTGTTATTTCCTTAGGACTCAAATCAAGCAGGACTAAGTAAATGCAGTAAAGAAATGCAATATCTATAAAATTTTATATATTGTGAATCAAAGAAGAGTATTATTTGAATTGCATGGATTTTTCTCCTGATAAAATTGTTCAAGAAGGTTATTTAGGAAGTTGGAGAAGAAAAGGCGTGTGTTTATGTTTATCTACTAGTATTAGTACTGCAAGCTATTGACACGCCGCTGAGTGATTTGATATCAGGTTCTTGTTTAGCTTTGTGATTACGTACTTTTTGATTTTTTTTTTTTCCTTCTGTTTTGTTAATCATCTATCATCTATGTATAGTCTTTGCTGTATGTCATAGAAATCTTAGCAAAACATGCACTTGTAAATTTAATTTCCCAAGTATCTTATGCTGTCATAATAGTTCTGCAGAACAAATATTAAAGTTTATTTAGTCACCTTTTGTCTTTTTGCCAATAGGGACTAACAATACGTGGGTGTATGTGAAAAGTGAAGATGGGCTAAGATTGCTGAATTGGCTTCAATTATTAGGTGAGTTTGGTCACTTACAGAGATTTTGTTTGAGTAAAGATTATTTAGTCTTAGAATATTCTGTGTAAGTAAAGATTATTTATCGAAATTCAGGATAAACCCTCAAAGCTGCCAAATATGCCCACCTATTGTAAAATGGTTGGTCTTGTCTTGTGTTAGGCCCGCCTAATCATTAGTTCCGCATACTCGTTTTTATAAATATGCATACTTTCATTAGAAAATGTCATTCTAAGAAACAGCATAAACAAAGTATGAATTTGATAGTATAAGACATAAGTACGAATAGTATGACGGAGATTTAACGGTTAGCTCTGCCTAACACAGTAACACAAGAATTTGTGATTGTAAAATTGTTTGGATTTGACTTTTGACTGTAATTTATACTCTTCACGATTGAGTACTTCATTCAAGTAGAGTACAGTTAAGGGTAGGGGTTAGTTGAATTATGAGAGCATATGCCTTTTGCCAGTTACTGTTATTAGTAATTTGAGTTGATCTTAAAAGTTCATGATATTTTGTATATTTTTTGGCTACTATTATACTGTCGCGTGAATTGTAACAAAGTTTAATTATGTTATTATAATGCCCAAGGATTTCCACACATTTTTTTACTAGTATTTTGTTATTTAATTTATGTATCTATGTTGTTTTCTACCAATTAGTATCTTAACACGTGTTGTATGTGTTTGGGTTTGTTAGAAACAATCTTCTCGTTTGTAGTTCCGTCGGGTGCAGATATCAGAAGATTGGTTTAGTTTCGTCTGGTGCGGATTTGTTTTGTTTAGGTGTAGTTTGTGTGTTTTTGTTTTGTAGGGTTTGCCTTATCAGTTTTGGCATTTTTCTGTTCAATTTGGGCATAGACTTGTTGTCAAGTTGTGTTGGTGTTAGTTGACATCAGACTTTGTATTTTGTAATTAGTCTCGTTCTCGAGTTTAATAATATGCTATAGTTTAGAAAAAATCCATTTGGCATCAATATTGTTTTACTTCTTCTTTTTTTTTTTCCACATCTATCGTGCAATTAGAGATGCCTTAGTGCTGTCAAAATAAACAATAATAAAATCCTTGTTTCAAATATAGAATTATAGTACAGTAATGGTAAGAAGAGTTTTTATTTTTTTGTTAAAACACCACCTCGGAAAGACAGATGATTAAGGTCTGATCTCCAACTTGTGCATAATCAATATCCAAATTAGGCTGAAAAAATCAACAGTCTATAAGGTACCAAACGAAAAAATAAAGAAAAAACAAAAGCGATAATTTCACTATGGACTAACAGATGTTCAGGCATGCAATATGCACCATTACGTGGGTCAAAACGACACATAAACATAATGATGAAGCTTCGGTATGGATGGTAACTCTAAGGCCAACAAGAAAATTGCAGGTCGGTATGCCTCTCGGAAGAGTTGTTTTCAAGTAGATTTGGTAGAGAAGAATTGATGAATTATTCATGAATGAATAAGAATCAAAATAAAATATAATGATGAGGGTTTTTTTACATATTCAATCTAAACAAAAATAATGCAAATAGATTGCAGTCTAACTAGGCAATGAAAATAAATTTGAATACGAGGAGTGAAAATGTTCAAGGAAAACGTGTAGAATGATAATAAGTATATCACAATTTATAATATATATGATTATCGCCAAAGCCCAACAAAATATTCACATTTTGATTTTTTGGAACAATAAATTATATGGAAAATGATACATTGTCAACTTAATATATAACTAGGTTGACAACACAAGTGAAAATATTTAAAAAAAATAAAAATAAAAAAATACACAAGTAGATATTTCTACTTGTTGTCAATCTAGTTGTACAATAAGTTAACAATGTAACATTTTTCATAATAAACAGAAAAATTATAGAAAACAACTCCAACAATCAGTTTACTAAGCTCGATATGGAGAGTTGGCCACAATTTGATGTTTGATTGGAAGATAATTTTGAACAATATCTAATTTCCATCTTATCAAGTTGCTTGCGATTTTTTATTTAAAAAAAACGTACTTGCGAAAAGGAGCGTTGCGTAACGGTAACGGAGTTATAAAAGCAAAAGATATGCTAATTAATTAATATTATTATTATTATTATAATATTTAAAATTAAATAAATAAAATGTTAAAATAATTCTTGATAGTGATTCATAGAGAAAAAATTGGACAGCCATTAGATCTCCAACAAGAATCCAGCGAAGCCTCTTTTTACCCTTTGGACTGTGTGTGTGAGTGAGTGTACGCTTACTGATTACGACTCCAAAATACCACCACAGTCCTCCTCTCACCATCATCACCGTCGCTCTCGCCCTTTTTTTCTCAACTGCCACCATTTTCAACATCCAAATCTTTTTTGCCATTTGTTTATGTTTGCGCGCAGGGTTTTATCAAAATCAATCATCAGAGGGAAGAAGTTTATCCACTCTGCCCTTGATCGGGAAAGTTGAAGCTGAGTTTCAGACGGCGATTGGATTTCGAAAGGTACAAGCTTTGTTGCATTAACGGGAAAGGGGAAAATTGAATGGTTTTTCAAAGGGTACAAGCTTTCCTGCCCTGACGGGGAAAATTGAAGCGAGTGTTAGACGCGATTGGGTGTCAAAAGGTGCGAGCTTTCTGGTCTGACGGGGAAAATTGGAGCGAGTTTCAGACGCGATTGGGTTACAAAAGGTACAAGCTTTGGTCGCTGGGTTGTCATTGCACTGTGTGCGTGTGCACGTGGCTCTGTGTGTGTAGTTTTGGGCATGTTTGTTCAAATGACTTGGTCTTTTTCTTTTTCTTTTTTTCTATTTTTTCTTTTGGGTATGCATCTCTTGTTCTGTTCTCGTCATTCCCAACCTGTGTCGCTTGGATTAATTTAACCTCAGCAAGTATTGTTTCTGTGTCGCTTTTTCAAACGGAGAAATCTAAGTTATGTGCTTCTGGGGCAATATTTGCTGAGGTTTTAAATTGCAAAAGGTCCAGTCTGCTCGATTTATTGCCGTTAAGTTAAAACGATGTCAAATTGCTTCATATGCTTCTTCTTCGAGGCTACTGGTAACTTTTGAGATGTGCAGGTCTCGCTGGGATGAATCCAAGAACGTCAAATTTTCTTACTTTGTATCGACTCTGTTGATCCTAAGGAAAAGCTCGTATTTCGGCTATTAAAAGAAGACATGATTCAATCATGTATTGATTAAAATCAGCTTATGTCATTTTCACGATCATGCATCCATGTAAAACTCAGCATCATATCTTCTGGTGCATCTTGTATGGATACCTATGGGCATATGTGCTATCTCATGGTCTGGATTATCCTGAAGAACAACAGTCCCTCAGTGAGATTGAACGATTTCAAAAATCGAGATCTTCAAGCCAAGTCGAAGATTATGTTACTTGCGAGGACTTGAATGGTGTTGGATCATTCAATACCACCTGTTTTCTCAACTCAAACATGTACAGTACTTCCGATATTTACGTGCTCGGCGCTGGAAATCTCGAGATAAACCCAAACGTCGAAATCACGTGTCCAATCGAAGGCTGCACCATAAGTTTCAATTTATCCGGCAATGCCAAAATTGGCCGTAACACAAAAATAGTTGCTGGCACTATCGTAATTTCTGCTGCAAATCTGACTTTGGAGTATAATTCTTCTCTAAATGCATCGTCATTGGGTGGATCTCCGCCATCTCAGACGAGTGGGACACCTGTCGGTTATGATGGGGCTGGCGGGGGGCATGGTGGCCGAGGTGCATCGTGTTTGAAAACTAATATCACGAATTATTGGGGTGGTGATGTTTATGGATGGTCTACTTTGTCTCATCCTTGGGGTTATGGTAGTAAAGGTGGGGGCACATCGGATGAACATAAGTTCGGTGGAAATGGCGGTGGCCGAGTGTTGCTTGATGTGAAGGATCTTCTGTATGTAAATGGATCTGTGACGGCTGAAGGTGGAGATGGAGGATCTTTGGGAGGTGGTGGATCGGGTGGGAGTATCATCTTACATGCTCAGAAGCTGTGAGTAAATTTGTTCGATAAAATGTCACAACTTTTTTTAGCTTAACCCTGAGTAAATCTTAGGATAAAGCCTTTGGATGTTTTTTCTTTTCTTCTTCTATTTTTCACTCTCCTTTATTTTTTTTCTTAGTTTGACATCGAATTACGTAATAAGGGCAGTTTAACTTATTGTATGTGGCAAAAAGGTAAGAACTTTCATGAGTAAAGGTTGTAGACTTGGTTTAAGGTTCAACCGTAAGTTTTTCTTGTCGAATTTTTTATGAATTTTTTATGGTAAAGGTAGGAACTTTCATGAGTAGAATAGGCTATTATCCTCATAGGCTAGGGATTGTGTGATTTTGTTGTTGATTGCGTGAGCGGGAATTGATTGATAGCTCGATTAGTTCATATTGTTTTTCTTTTCTTCTTCTATTTATCACTGTTTTTTTTCCCAGTCGGACATCTAATTACATAATTAAGTGCAGTTTAACTTACTGCATGTGGTAAAAAGGTAGGAACTTTCATGAATAAAGGTTGTATACTTAGTTTAAGGTTCAAGATCTCGTAAGTTTTTTCTTGTCGAATTTTCTAAGGTAAAGCTAGAAACTTTTATGAGTAGAACTGACTATCATCCTGGGAGGCTAGAGATTATGTGATTTTGTTGTTGATTGCGCAAGCGAAAATTGACCGATAGCTCGATCAGTTCATCGCTAGTGACGATTGCTGCTTGATTACATGTTTCCGAACCTCTGAGTGCCTTGTTTCCATCTAGAGTTTTTTAGTCCTTTTTCTTTTTTACTCTCTCTCTCTCTCTCTCTCTCTTTTCAGTTGAACATCTAATTACATAATTAAGTGCAATTTAACTTAATGAATGTGGTTCGACTGTACAGAAGGGGATTTGGCATTGTAAGTGCAGCTGGTGGAAGGGGATGGGGTGGAGGTGGAGGAGGAAGAATATCTTTAAACTGTTACAGCAGGCAAGAAGATGTGGGAGTCACAGCTCACGGTTCGTGCTTATCCACTGATGTTCATAAATGCAATGTCGATTTCTAAACAATATGTGCTGTACCTGTCATGTAAGCCTTGTGTGCTGCATTTTGATATTGGTGGAATGACATTAGTATTAACTTTCAATTCATTATGTAAACCTCTTAATGGGTCAAATCAGGATAAAAATTATATATAGTTGATGCTAACATCACAACCTTTATATAAACCTTTATTATAGCTGGCTGCTTTAAATCTTACACCGGGTTAGTACAAGTTTGCTTTGCCTTCATGATTATTATTTATTATAATGCATAAAATGAGATTTCGTGAAGATAGTGTTTGTTCTCTTACATGAATTTACCTTCTTAGAAGGTTTGACTCAACACCATCATTTTGTTGTGATCTTTATGTTATGAACTAAGATAGTGCATAACTTAGGTAACTGCTGTAATGTATAGTAGCTCTACATATCCCTTTATCAGTGTTCATTTTCTTTTAATTTAATGTTGACTGATTTTTCATTGAAAATCTGAATTTCTGTTCAAAACAGTGAACATTCTGTTACAAAGAAATCAACATTTAGATGTTTAGTTAAAAATAATGAAAAATTTGAGGAAAACAATAAACATCAGGTTGAAAGCAATTATCGTTATTTTCTTAACTGCATTAATATATTGATCATTATATTCATTGGATTTCTCACTGACAGGTGGATGGAGTAATGGCTGTTCATGGAATGCAGGAGCTGCTGGAACTTACTTCGATGCATATGTACTGAGTTTACGAGTTGACAATAACAATATCACAACTGAAACCGAAACTCCTTTACTGGATTTTTCGACTAGTCCATTGTGGACAAATGTTTATGTGGAAAACAATGCAAAAGTTTTAGTTCCTCTATATTGGACAAGAGTTCAGGTCTGCACTCATCATCTTTTCTAGTAAATTTAAGTCTAAGTGGTCTATAAAAACTGCTCATAGAAAGTAAAGCCAGGTTCATTTATTTTCTCCAGTTCCGTTCTTTCTTCGATATTTTTTTTTTTTTAATTATGAACTCCATTTTGAAGGTGAGAGGCCAGATAAGCTTGTATAGTCGAAGCAGCATCGTTTTTGGGTTGTCTGAATTTCCAGTTTCAGAATTTGAACTCGTTGCAGAGGAACTTCTGATGAGTGATTCGGTTATTCAGGTAGAATTTTTTTATGTGGTTGCCTTTTATCCAAATCTCTAATTTTAATTTTTTTTGTAACTCTTAATTTATGCAGTTTCTTCAATTTCCGTATGGCTAAATTCATTTTCTTTGTTCTTTGCTGAGGTTCTGGTAGACAATTCTCTTCCACCACACACTTGTATT